GCATCCAGGTAGTGGCTGCAGAGATCCCCCCCCAAATTCTCGCCACTTGGCCTCATCGCGGCCGGGGGGGTGGCAACTGTGCAGCTTCTCTTCGTGAAGGCGACAGTCTCCAGCCCAGGAGGCGCGTGACTGCACAGGCTAAGGAAGGTGGGCTCTTCTTGGTGTGCGAGTGGCTGCTGGGCGACCCCTTAGGCCCTCTGTCACCCTCAGGTGGCTCGCATTTGGGAACTCAGCAGCATCGATGCCCTACATGTTAGCTGCTTGCAGGGCATCCGCGTTTCAGCTCCTGTTTGCCAGGTATGTTCAGTTTGCATTCGTATTGGTCGACCGATGTCCTGCATGATACGTGCCCACACATGACGTTTCGCAGCGTGCGGCTCACCCGTGCTGCGAGGCGGAACTTGCAGTATCAGAGGGACTTTGATGGGAATGTGCCTCATTTTCGCCATTTACACACCACTTGTCACCTTGGTTTTCACAACGTCCGCACGATGCGCCATGCTATTACTTTGCACTCCGATGACACAGTCACTTCTTCTGGACACGAGACTGTCATGAACATGAAGCAGCGTATGATCCAGTTTCATATGTACGTCCTTGCTCTTTCTGAGGTCAGGCTCCCGGGCAGCGGCTCGGTTGACGTCGGGGATGGCTTCTTGCTTATTTACGCAGGCAGCCCGGGTGATGGCTCACTGGGTGGCGTGGCCCTACTGTTATCTCCGTCTGCTGCGCGGTCCTGGCGCCAAGCCGGCTCACGCGCTAAGCACTGGGATTCCGGGCGTCTGCTGCGCATCTCTTTGCACTGCCCTGAAGGCTTGTGGCACGTCGGTTCGGCTTATGGGCCCACCGAACAACAGGACGCATTAGTCAAGGACCAGTTTTACGAGGATCTACGCGCCTTTTGGCATGACTTACCGGCGCGCGAGCCCACTTTTCTCTTAGGAGACTTGAACAGTCGTGTGGGTGTGCGTGGAGCTGCTGATGCTGAGGCCCCTGCCTCTGTGTTGGGTCCCCACGGACTCGGTGCCCGCAACGGCAACGGCCGCCGTTTGCTTCAGCATGCTTCAGAGACTGGTTTACGTGTCCTCAACACTTTCTATGCTCATGATCTTCAGCACACGGCCTCGTGGTACCATGCGCGTTGGCACACGCCTGGTCTTCTTGACCTCGCGCTGTGCCGCCAGTCCGACTCAGCTTTCGTTACTGATGTGCAGGCTTTGCCACATGCCGAAACGGATAGTGACCACCGCATCATGCTGCTTTCCCTCCGTGCTCGGCCTGTGCGCGGCTGTGCGCCTGCCCCTGCTGCCCCCCCCTCTGCTTCTGTGCGTCCACGCCCGCTTGCTGTGCATAAGCTTCGTGACCCGGCGACCAGGCAACAATTCTGCGCGCACCTCTCTCGTAGCTTGCAGGCAGACCCTGGTGGCGACTTTGACTCCTTCGCGATGCACATGCGTGCTGCTGGTGAGCAGACTCTTGGTCTTGCTGAGTCTGCAGTCTCCACTTGGCGCAGTGGGCATGAGGATGAGCTTCGTCAACTTGCTTCGGCTCGCCAAGCTGCTTTCGAGGCCACTGTTCGTTCGCCGCATGATGCTCATGCGGCCCAGCACCTCCGCAACATCCGCCATCACAATCGTGCTGTGGTACGCCGCCTCAAGACTGCTTGGTGGCATGAGCAAGCTGGGAACATGCAGCGGGCTGCGGATGCTCATGATGCTAAGTCTCTTTTCGGGGATGCTAAGCGGTTGGGTAGGTGGTTTTCAACTCACGGCATGTGTAAGCGGCCTCTTTGCGCCGATCGTGCTGCGGAAGCACGCAAGTTTGCTGACCACTTTGAGACTGTTTTGAATGTTGATCGCCCAACTGACCCTGCTGCTTGGCGTGCTCTTCCTGCCCAGAACCACGCCGCTCCCTTGCCTGCTGGTTTGTGGGACCCGCCTGCCTTCGAGGAGTTTGCCGCCTCGGTTCGTAAACTGGCCCGCGGCAAAGCCCCTGATTTGACGGGCAACCATGCCGAGCTTTTTCATGCACTGCTGGATGCTGGCGATGCTGGCCAGGCGCCTCTTGCACACCTGCACGGTTTAGTCTGTGAGTTCTGGCACGGCCGTCGGCCTTCTGCCAAGCGGTGGCGATGCTCCGTGCTCATACCTATCTTTAAGAACAAGGGTGATTTCTCCGACCTGAACAACCATAGGGGTATAGTTCTTTTGGATGTGCTCTCTAAGCTTGTCTGTCGGGTGCTGAATGATCGCTTGTCGGCGGTCGTTGAGGCTTCTTGTTCCGAGGCTGAGGTCGGGTTCCGCAAAGGACGCAGTGTCACCGACGCTGTGTTCACCCTTCGCCGACTCCTTGAATCGTGGCATTTCACCAGGCCCGCAGGGCCCGTGCCAGCGGGCGCTGCAGACAACACGGAAGATTCCCTTTACCTTCTGTTCGTGGACTTGACTAAGGCGTTCGACTCTGTTAACCGCGACCAACTGTGGGGGCTTCTTCGTCACCAGTTTGCTGTCCAGGGACATGTCGTCGACATGCTCCAGCGAATCCATGATCGTATGAGCACTCATGTCTTGCATGCTGGCTCCTTGGGTCGCGAAGTCCCTATGCGCACCGGAGTTCGCCAGGGCTCTATCGAGGGGCCCACCTTGTACCTCCTGTTTTACACTGTGGTTCTCCAGGAGTGGCGCTCTCGTTGCTCTCGTGCGTGTGCTCAGCCGCCTGGTGTGCCTTGGGTGTCTACTCGCGACGGCACACTGCGCTTGCCTTCCCGGACCCGTGTTGCCTATCGCGACACCCTGCAGCTCTTCGACTTGGAGTATGCAGACGACACCGTCATGGTTGACTGCTCGTGGGACCGTTTCGTCACCTGTGCCCGGCTCTTGGATTCGGTCCTCACTGACTTCGGCGTGGAAATGAATCTAGCCAAAACTGAATGGATGATGGTGTCCGGCTTTGGACAGCCTGCCGATGCCGCCCCTTTGCCTGGTGCTCGCCGTTTGGTCATACGTGGTCAGGTTGTCCCTCGCACCTTGCAGTTTAAGTATCTGGGCTCACTGGTTGCAGCGGACGCTTCCTTGGGGGTTGATGCGGACGTTCGGCGCCGCATAGGCTTAGCCTGGGCTGGCTTTGGGTACCTTAAACACGTTTGGCGCAGCCATCACATCGCCCTGAAGACCAAATCTACCCTGCTTCGCAGTTGCGTGCTCAGCGTGTTGCTCTTTGGCTGTGAAAGCTGGTCGCTTCGTTCCCACCACCTGCGCTCACTCACCAGCACTTGGTTAGGTTTAGTTAGGGGTATCCAGGGTCTCACTTGGCAGCAGCAACGTGACGGGCGCCTGTCTGCCTCCGACTTGCTTGCCCGCGTTGGGCTCCCCAGCCTCCACACTCTCCTCTTCCAACGTGTCGCCCGCTGGCTCGGGCATGTGGCCCGTCGGCCCCCTGGACGCAGCATTCCTTTTGCCATGCTGTTTGGTTCGCTTCCTGGCCGTGTTTGCCCCCCGGCTTCCGTTGCTGGCACGCAGAAGCGTTTCTTTACCACCACTGCTCGTTTGGTGCTTCAGGCCATGCCCACGCTCGATGAACGCGTCTGGGCTCGCACCGCCGGTGATCGAGCTGCTTGGCGTCGGTGCGTCTCCGCCATCAAAATCGATCCTCCCACGCGCAGCGCTCCTGTTCGCGCCGCTCCTGTGTCTACCAGGCGTGCTGTTGCTGCCCAGGCCGCTGCAGGCCGCGATCCTTTGCAGTGCCCTTCCTGCCAGTTTCGTGCTCGCAATGCTCAGGGTCTTATGAACCACATCAACGAGAAGCATCCGGTTGAGTCGTCCTCCTGGACGTGCGAACATTGCGGTAAGGTTTATCATCATAAGGGATATTTTACCTTGCATGCACAGTCGTGCCCAGCCGCTCCGGCCCCTCCGCCGCCTGCACCGGCAGGCCCCCCGCGGGCTGCGGCTCGCACTGCTGCTCAGCGCAACTTCACCTGTTCCTTTCCTCGGTGTGGCCTCACCTTCGTCAGTGGCTCGCAGCAGCGACGCCACGAGCGTGAGCAGTGTTTGCATCGCCCTGGCAGCGGAGCCATTGTTTCTCCGAGCGGTGCGCTGGTACTGCCTTGCCCTGTCTGTCAGGAAACCTGGACGTCTACTCGTGCTCTGGGGCTGCATATGAAGAAAAAGCATTAGTGCATCGGCGCCTCGCTTTCACTTTCACTTTCAGGTTCAGGTTCACATTTGGCTCGTCTTTGTCTTTTCGGCACTTTCCTGTCTTTTGCTGACAGTTTTGCCAGGGGTTGTCTTCTCGCAGCTGCTGGGCACTCATGCTGTCGATACGTCATCCCTCGCTGCGGCACGGTTGCGATAGGGTAAGGTTTAGTTCCCCTCTTCTTCCTGTCCCTTCGCCCCACCGGCCCTGTTTCTTTCGTTTCCGCCGTGTTTTTCCAAGGGTGCCTTGTATCTGGGAAGGCCGGCCTCGCCTCATGAGGGCTGGGAGGCCCTCCCCGGATCTGGCCCGACAGACCTTTCATGGCCTGCTGCGGTGTGCTGCCGCCGCTTTCCCGGCTCAGGCTCTTAGTCGGTTGTCTCAGGTTTAGGTTGCTTACTGTACAGCTCTGCGCCTTGCCATGGCCGCCTTTCTCCAAGCCCTCGACAGTTCGTGCCAAAGCCCCCAGCACAAGAAGTCCAAGGCTACTAAGCCCGCTGAATCGTCGTCTGGTGAGCCGTTGCCGAAGCTCGCTGGCCGGGCAGAGGTCACTGCACTGAGCAATCTGGACCTCACGCGTGGCTTCCTGGATCATGATGCCCAACTGCGTCATCTGCATGCCTCCTGCACGCTTGTGTTTAAGTATGACATCGAGTGCTCCTTCTCTGTGCTGATGTTGGGTGCTGTGCGCACCTGGCAAGACAAGCATCGTCCTGGGCGCCCGCACCCTTTCGGTGCCTGCAGCACTGCGTTGGCTTGCGTTTTGCTTCGCACTGTCACTTCTGATGCTGAGGAGGATAATAGGGAGCACAAGGCCCTGTGCAGGCTTGTCACCCCTTGGCTCGAAGGAGAGGACATGTCTGTCATTGCTCGTGAGGTCAGCTTGTGCGCCGCGCGCGCTTCTGCCAAGAAGACACATCTTATTTTGGAGTTTAGGCCGCATCTTGCTAGTGTCTTGACGCCCGCATTGCCGACTATTGCGCAGCTGCTTTTGTCCCAAGGCGGCGAACGCCTGGATGTGCGCCCGCAGGGTGGCTTGGCCCGTAAGGCCAGAGGCTACTGAGGCTTGAGACTGCCGTGCATGGGGAAGCTCTGTCAACAGTTTATGCTTCCTGCCGATTTGGGAATTCGTTTGTCATCAGGATGCTCTGTCAACAGTTTTCATCCTGTCTTTTGCCTGAGCTCATGCAAGTTCTTTTTCGTGCAGGGCCTCTTCAAGGGACGGCCGGCCTTTTGTATGTTTGCAATGCTTTTTACTACTGGCGACGTCATGCTCGGACACGGGCGACGACGTACACCTCCTCCTCCTGCAGAGATCTCCCCTTCGGAGAGGCCGTTGGTCTCTGACCTAAGTAGCAGCAGGCGTAACAACGGCCCAACCGTTGCGCATCAACAGCAAGGTGAACA